TTCTCTCATTGCCATTGTAATCAAAGCATCGTAATCACAAGTAAAAAATCATATGACCTAAAGTCCCACCTTAATAAAAAAAAACTATCAAAAAATTTTATTTCTGTCAATCAATTACAATGTTTTATATAGCGAAAATCCTGAAAAAATTCGAAAAAATAAAAAAAAAAGATTTTTTTCCCAAAAATGAAAAAAATCAAGATAATGACAAATTGAGAATCATAATCTCAAGAATTATCTTCCAATAAACAGAATTCAAATTCGACTTAAATTTATCAAGATATAACCAAAACAAATTTATCAAAAGAGGAAACAATGCATAAACGAAGCCTAAACGAAGAAATTTGCCAAAAATTGGCCTATGTCAGCAGCAAAGCTGCTGGGTGTTGTTCATTGGAACTTTTTCAATCAAATTTAACTAAAATTTCTCCAAAAGAGGGCAACCCTAAAATTCCTTTGAAAATTGAAAAGTTGAGAAGAAAGACATGGAAAAGAAGAAATAAGAGCTGTAAGTTTTAGGGTTAAGGCGTAGAGTAAGTGGAGGTGGGGGAAATTGGAGTTGTGCATTCTGTGTTTGTAATTCTTCTATAGGCTATAACACTAACACTGGAACTACCTAAATCTGTAATTTTAATGAAATATTGGAATGATTTATTTTGAATTTCTTTTTAAAGAAACATGATTAAATGTACAATTCATTAAAAAAAAAAATCATACCTCTTCAGTAGCCAAAAATTATTTAACTGTTGGTGCATTCGCAGACTCTGTAATGTTTAGCTTAATCATTTGGCTTCCATTTGTGCACTCGTGGACTTTGTAATGTTTTATATCCAAATTTTTGTCCAATCTCTAGAAATGCTTAATATATCCAATACAGCAACATAATTGAAGTATCAATTTGTTGAATGAAAAATTAAGAAAAATAGAAATAAATAATGTCCGCACAAACAAATTCACCCTGATCATCCCGACTTACAATTCACGTATGAAGTTCCTCTAAAGATAAACACTCTACATTTAATCCGCACTGCAATCTCTATGCAACGCGGAGATCACATAACTCCGCGTTGCGCAGAGGTCTCTGTGGAATTTCGCAAAGACTTCTCTACCTACCATTGTAATCCATATTCAAACTCAACTGAATTAAATTTTCAAATTCGATTGTTCGTCATTTGATTTAGACAAAATAAATAGAAAGAAAGTAATCACGTAAATTACATAGGAGTAACTGATCAACCCAGGACAATAGTATGTGCAATTTAGCCTTCTTTTGCAAATTTGAATTCAGACAGATTTCAATTGTTTGGATTTTTGGAAAGAAGATGAAGAATAATAGTGCAGGAGTGGTAGGTTGAGTAGAAGAATGGACAAAGAGGACAAATGAATACTGTCCTCACGCTTCCTTCCAATGGGGTTTTCAGCTAATAAAATGAGATGGGGAAAAAAAAGCAGAGGATGATATATATTTTCGACACATTTAAATGATTGCTTTTACTCTTTTATATATGTAGGATATAAAATTTTTATAAAAAAATTATATTTTAACTAAATATTTATATAACATTTTTCTTTCCTCGTCTATTTTTTATGAAAAGATCAATTTGTAATTAAATTAAAAAAATTTATATAAAAAATACTAATTTATAGTTAAATTTACACGGTTGCACTAGACGCACGTAAATTTAATTTTAAATGAAAGTTTAAAAAATCTTTTGAATTCTTCAAAAGTATATAAAAATTTAAAATGAAAGTCTACAGAAATTTACAAAAAAACTTTCATTAATTCCATACAAATTTACATAAGTCTACAAAATATACAAAAATTATCACATAAATGTAGTCTATATGAATGTTTAAAAGTTCCAATTGAATACATGCCCTTAATGTCTATAGTACGAGGTATGGGTGTCGATGAAAGTGAGTGTGTTAATTGCATGGACTTCTGTATTTGCAGGCAATTTGTCTGGGGGAAAGGTACAATAATAGGGAAAAACAAAGCAAAGTATTGGTTCATCGCATTACAAAATGAATTCTTGAAAGCTCAAATTTTATTAGAAAATTAGGGCTCCGATTTCTATCTATATATTCCAATTAGCAACATTTTGAGTTTTCAAACATAATGCTATAAATTTGAATTCTCACGTGATTGAAATCATTAATATAGATGTTAAAATCACATGACGTAAAATTGAAGAATAATGTTGTCAAATCCCGTGATGTCCAATTTCACTTTTCGTGTAATGTTATTATTTGAAATGACTGTTTACTCCAAATACGGAACAAACTTAATAAATTAATTAGATTGAGAAATCAAAATTTTAAGTTCCGTTTGATTTGTATTTCAACTTTCAATTCATTTTCTATTTTCTATTTTAAGGGCATACTATAACATTATTAAAAACATGTTCAGTTTGCCGTTATGAAAAATTATTTCTCAAAGCAAAAACCAAGAAAAAAAATGTTTGATTTGAAATTGTAAAAATTGATTTAAAACATTTTATTCCATAAAATTTGATTATTCAGTTAAAATAGAATTATTATATGTTAATATATACATTTTAAAGTTAGTAAATCTTATAATATGTTTTTCATGCTACAAAAGTAAATAATAATAATACTAATAATAATAATAATAATAATAAATTGAGTTAAAAATATAGAAAATAAAAATAAAAACTAATTATTCATGTTCGTTTTTGTAAAGTTTTTATGTAAATAATTATTAAAAGCTTAAACTATTTCTATTTTTTTTTATAAAAATTTATATTTATATTTTTGAAAATTTTATTTATAACATTTGTTTTTCATGTTTTGAGTGATTTCAAAATTTTCACTGAATACAGTCAAATCATCAAAAAATTTATTTATTTATAACTATGTTTTCAAAATCGTGGGTCCCCCTCCTATGAGGAGGTTGTTAATCCCAATTGTACAACTAGCAAAATTCTTTTTAAGAATACCACACCAAACACTTACCAGTATTTTGGAAAACTGAAAACAGCAAAGCACACACCTTTAACGTAAAATGGGGCCCAATAACCTACCAATTCCACTCATAGGCCATGCCGGCTCTCTTCTTCTAAGAAGGCCAGGCCGTGGAGCTGTTTACACCTCGGATAAAGGAGCAGCAGCTAGGAGGGGGCATAGAACACAAATTTACCATCGAAAATGTTAAGTTCAAAATTCAAATAAACCTCGAAAGGCATTAGTAAATGAGCAATCCAAATATGTAAACTAACTTCAGTAACAGTTTCATACACCCTCCTAATACCCAATTCAAAAATTGAAGAAAATAACTCAACTGTATAAAGAGAATTTTCTCGAGTAGAACAAAACAACAGAATTTTCACTCTTAGAACGTGGTTCCTGTATTCTCGACATCAACTTCTCCCATACCTGTATCTTCCTCCTCTTCACTGTCTTCGTCTCCACTAATCTCCTCATTTTCACGACCCAGCTTAAGCATCTGCTCAGCAAGTAGTTTGTCCTCCCGTTCACTCACCTAAACAAAAGTATCCATATTAGCTGTGATATGGCAATAAGAGTTGTGATGATGACAAGGATAGCCTTTACAGAAGAAGCAGAGAGAATCAATATTTCACCCAAAGTAGTGATATTATAGCAGTTTTTCTAGGGAGCATTGGATGGCAATGCTAAAATCTTGTTAAATATACTGTCCAGTTTTGTCACATATAAAGAATCAATGTGCACTTAATAGTCCAAATAATAGAAAAGAAGGTCTAATATGAGAAAAAGTAATGATTCTTACAGCTCTTGGTGCCTCTTTAACAGTAAGTTTTCCCTTGTGACGTTCAATTTCTTCCGTGCAAGCTTCAATAGCCTTGTTAAGAGTAGCAATACCTTGATCCTACATTACAAAACAAAACCCATTGAAATTGGCGAAATTATATTTACAGTTCCATGTGACTCTAGGGGGACAGAGATTGAATGGAAAACACATAAAACATATTATAATCACAAGAAATAATCAGCACAGCAAAACATTTATGAAATAATTAAGAACCAGTAGAATTTGTTATTGTAGCCTTCAGCTTTGCTACTTTAGTTTGCAACATTCTCGGAGAGTAGCGTATGAAAAAATGCAAGAACCTAAAGCCCTTGTTTGGTCCCCATTATTTCCAAAATACATTTTTCTCCCTCTTATTTTCAACCACACATTCTTCAATAATCTAATATTACACGCAAACCCCAATATTTTTTTTTATCCCTAACCCCACATTCTCCATCAAAATACCATTCCAAAATGCAATTTGGGCCAAAAAAGGGGTTCAAACAGACTCTAAATTCCATACTGCCGCAAGAATCAACTTCTTTATTAGTAAAGAACCGAGAAAATGTCATATACGACGACTGTATCAAGAAATGACGATGAAAAACAGATTTGAACCTATGGATGACAGCAACAATTGACTTAACGTCCATAACATCACATGACCATACCTAACATGGTAGTTGAGCATCATGCTTCTGTGGCTCAAACTACCGATGGCATCAAATTTAACGTACACGACGAAATAAGCCAAAATTCATGGACAGTGTGATAGGCAAACAAGTCACTGCAGATTACATCTTAATACCAGCATTTACAAATTACAGGATAGTCATGCCAGCATTAGAATTTGTCGGAAGTGGAACTATCTTGCAGTTTCGAAAACAGATGCCGATAAAAGCTAAAAACTATCTGGAACATCCAACAAGGCAGATGCAAGATAAGTCCAAAAAAAAAAAAAAAATTCATCATGACAATCTTATCTATTTAGCATAACAAGCATAATTTGTATAAAACCTTGTCGAGAGTTTGGGTGTTGAGGACATATGCTGGAGGGGCAACAAGTTTAATTTTAACTGGGCAATCCTTGTTACCCGCAGCTTCAGCTTTACGCATTGCTTCCTGCAGATAGTTCAGCAATAGTTAGCACTCATGACAGACATATTTTGCAGTATAATAAAAACTGTTCAAGAAGTTGGTAATAAGATGAATGGACAGGGACCTTGATGTGCAGAACACCATCAAATTGGAAACACTTCATTTCAACATCTGCCCGAATCTTCAATGGTTGTGGGGTCATTCTTCTCCTGATATTTTTAACTAAAGCATCTTTAACTTCCTCAGATATGGCAGGCACCATCTTAGTCATCTGTAGAATAACAGGATTTAAAATTATTCACTTAACCATATGAAAAAAATAAATACAAATTGACGTTTAACAAAGAGTACCTCCTGGCCATCAGGGCCAACTTCTTTGATTTCGCGGGTAAGGCAATCGAGCACCGAATCGGGATCGTTGACGATTAATTTGAATGCCTTCATATTGACACAAAAATAAAAGAAGTAGATATTGCCATTCCAATACAAAGTTGAGGCAAATATCACTAGTGAAATTTGAAAGAGTTGCAAAATCTACCTCAAATGCATGGCCGTATTTCCTGTATAATGGCCAGCCAACATGGATATAGAGATCCTACAGTAAACAATTTGCTTTAATTGAAGATGACAAGAGAATACCTCAGCACAAATATCAGAATATGGTTTTCATATATATATATTGTGCAGCACTGAGTTGTTTATAAGGACCGTAAAGGCAGAAACAATACAAGAAATATCACCCTGGGTTCCAGGAAGAAGCATTGATGATCATGTAGGTGGTAGGACTAATCAAACACATACAAGGTGTAGCATACCAAATTGTTAGCAAGGTAGAAAAGATGCAAAGTTATCCAAGGGTGGCACGGAATATTTAGAAAATAATAACCTCAAAACCCAATTGAGTACTTACGCACTAATATAATAAACGGCATACCAGATGAATATCATGCAATAAATAAACTTCCTTAACGCACACAATTTTACAACAGAACAAGCATTAACTTAGCTTCAATATGACCTAAATGGTGATCCTTGAAAACTTACAGCAAACACCCCAACGGAAGCAGAAATTTCTTCAGCTCCTAATAAAATAATTTCTCAATCAACCCAGTAGAAGTACCTTCCCTAGATAAACGATATTATTATTCCTTTAGGGAACTGTCAGTGATAGGGAGACATAAAAATTTATTAATTATAACATAAAAAATATCTTTTTTCCCCATAATCCTCAAATACAATATGTAGGTAACTGAAATTCTGCATATAGCATGTGGATTAGTTAACGAACAATTTTATTATTTTTCTCATTAAGGTGAACACAGCAACCTACTTCTGGAAGACAATCGTATATATTAAATGCTTGCAGAAAGACAAGTAACCAACATTTGTAACCAAACTAAATGAGAAACAAGAACAAACATTTGTAACCAAACTAAATGAGAAACAAGTCGTGTTCACTACAGATAATCAAAGCATGTTAATTCCAATATCATAATATTATTTCCTCAGAAATGCAGTGACTAGACAGAAACTGCTTCAGACATATGAATCCAGACTAACAAATAGACTTCCTTCCTTTAACCTCTTTCTGATCAAAGATGATTTCATCACCTTCCCTTCATTTTGTTTTCCTTTTTCTTTGACTGCTGAGTAGCAAAAAGATCAAAGAAAAAGAAACAAAACGAAGATCCAAGAGGTAGCAGATTCTGTGTAGCCACATGCCCTTACCCGTTCATACAAAAACTAGACTACCTACATGTTTTCCAATTTCCTAAAAGAACAACATTTAAACTCTACGACCAACTTACAATATCGTCAACTTAAAAAAGAATTCTATATTGCGAAAACATCCTCATATGTTCACTGAATTATTGATTTCATAAAATCCTCAGTCTGTGCTCACTTGTGCTTGTACACTTATACATGAGTGAGCACGCTCACAAGCATGTGAATCATTGCCACTTGCGCTGGCAAGAATCTCGGGTTAGGCTAAAGCTACACCAATTTGTTCTATTGTCACGTCCGTAACACAAAAGCTCACATGCAAGACACTCCATATCACTCTCTTTTGCAGATATGCCCACATGAAACGAAAGGCAGGCTGAAGTTAAAGCAGATATGTTCTCTTGCCATATCTACCATGTTCCAAGCAAGAGAGAGAGTAATAGAGAGGAGTTGGAGGTCTTTTGGGAAAATTATTCCTGAGAAATCAAACCAATACAATGGAAAAAATTCTTCCTGTCTAGGTAAATAGTATGTAAAAGCATAGGAATTCAATGATCCTATGAATATCCAAATAAGAGACATAATCTACTTTCACTTTTCTCGAATTTATTTGAAGTATCTGGTCAATTGCTATCACCTTCTAGTAGTCAAATTCTTATCTATCTAGAGTTTTGGTTGTGAAGGCAACCTTGTCTCACTAACTCACATCAACAGAAAAGGAAATGAAATCCATACTCTCCCCTTACATCCTTAAGATTGCTGCAACGATGTACCTGAACCTGAAGCTTGTGGCACTCTTCTATTTCTATAAAAGAAGGTTTCTCTAAGAATTAGTTTCTTTGGTGCTGATACTGAGCATAATCAAACAGCAAAAGGCAGGCTTATTATACAAACTCCTGCATTATTTGACGCATTTATTGTTAGCTGGGAGTTAATAGCCTTTGATTTTCCAGGAATGACATTTGGATGATGTGAAAATCAGGCCCATATATAGGAACTAGAGAGAGAATTATGAGAAGACCATACTTGGGATGCATGGAAGTATGGAAAATGAAAGCATGGTTGAAAGCCGTGATAAATTGGAAATTTCGGTCACATACAGGAGATTCACTTAATTTACGAGTTTCACATCGATCTTTATCGTTGTTCAAGGATGTTATCACTTCCTAATAGAATGGAGATTACATAATAGGACTATAAAGGAGTACTAAGATCACAAGCAATGTAAGGGAAACAGAATATGGAAGGAGAATAAACTCATCATTTTAGCATGGCCCTTACCTCAAACCTAAAACTGCAGAGAATGCACATCTAGATAATTCATGTAGATAACAGTCTTTGACAAAGGCAGCCGAAATATATATATGTTGTCACCATGAATATGTGTAGAGGCACATAGAAAATTCTCTATATTCCACCATTTCCTGTATTTTCTTTTCTTCTCATTTCAGTCCGTTTCACTTAATTCCCTGCCTTTTCGCATTGATCCCACTTATTTCATAAGATTCATTGATTTTTCATATCCGAATCCCATTGGTAAGAATCAGGCTTAGCCAATTGACATTTGATGAAGGCTTCTATAAGGTAACAAATCGAAACCCAACTTGTTATCTTTTCCTTATCGCTTAAAATCACTCCTTTAAGTTGATACTCAAGAAAATAAACACTTTCAACCACTAGAATGCCTAAATTTAGAATGAAAAAATTTGACTTCTTCTCAATCCACTCTATTTGATAGTCAAATCAAGCTCATCTTCATCACAAAAGAAATCCTGGAGTGTCATTCCTTCCTTATGAGTGTCCAACTTGAATTCCACTGCTTCTACATGTATGTGTATTACACCATATTATCCATCTTTAAAGTGACAACAAGTTTACACATATTCCTCCCTCAAAAATTCATTTAAAACTTTAACATACCCAGATAGGACTAATTCAGGGCATTTTATATAAGAATCCACAAAATATATGTTTTGTACCTACCCATTCCAATATTTACCTCAGAATTCATAGAATCTTCGTCAATTAACGAAAGGGAAGTAAGCAATAAACACAAAAACTTAACAAAGCAATTTACAATAAGTACTCAACAGCGAAAACTCGTCAAAATAAGAATGAAAAATTACCTCCAAATCAATATTCATGGTCTCAGCAACATGACGCATAATGGAATGCACAAGTTTACTTTTGTTGTATCTTTCCTCGCAGGCCTGAATATCTTCCTCAGAAACCCTCCTCTTACTTAAATCAATGTAGCCCTTTTCCTTGTCAACACGAAGGACCATGACTGGCTCGATCCGACCCACCCTGATGAGACTGCTGATACTACGAATTCGACGGCGGGAGAGCTCCGAGAATAGGATCATACCCTCGATGTTATTGTACTCCAACAGTGAAACATACGCACCACTGTCTGCCATGCTCTTCACCTGTATCATAACGGCCTGGTCCACCTCAGGGTATTTGGCCTCATACATCCGGCATTCAAGATTTGGCCCAGTTGCCATGGCTGGGAATTGTAAAAGGGGTTAGGGATAAGGGTTTCTACTCTCTGGGAATTGAGGTTTCGTATGGAGGCTTGGAGCGACAGGGCTGGAAGGCACTGGCAAAATGGGGAACCTTTTTTTAAGGGTTTCAGAATTCAGATTGTTCGGGGAAATTTACGTGACTTATCACATGTTTGGTGGTCATTATTTATCAAAAATAATGTTTTGAATAGTGAATTTTTTGTGAGGTTCGACTGATTAAAAGTTAGGGAAAAAATTTATATTTACATACAGAATATTTTATTATATGAATATAAAGTATGTCGAAAAAAATTAATTTAAAGGCTATAAAACAAGGGCTTAGCCTTTGACAATTATTACAATTTGGGATTTTTTTTTTTTTTAAATCATACATTTCATGTATCCACAGCTTTTATCAATATTTTATCAACACATTTTATCGACTTTTATCAAAACCTATTAAAAACTATTAATTTTTTTTTATTTTTTATTTTTTATCAAGACCGAAATTGAACAATAGTTCAATTTTAACGCTAAATAGTTCAAAATTGAACGATAGAATTTGTAAACGAAATGATTAGGGTATATCATATATGTTAGTTTAACGTTTTTTGCGCCAAACACTTCACCAGTATAACTATCTAAGTTATATAAACTTCACGGATTGCTCTCCAAAATAAGTATTTTCCCTAGCAACAAAACTTCGCTGCCACAATGAACTTGTCAAAAAATTTTAACACTATGGTAGTCGATTTGTCAAAACTTGCTAACATCATTTAATGACTATTTCTGTTCAAATATCCTGTTCTCGTCATTTAAGTAGTAGAAAAATATTTCGTCGAACCTTCATATTTGCTTTTTTCTTTTTCTTTCTTTATTTTTTTTTTTTTTTGGCTTATTTAAAAAAAATTGATGGACAAATAAATCTTATGGTACCCTACTAATGAATATTTTAGACTAAAATGGTTTTTATGTTAAATTTTAATTTGTAATCATACTAAGAATCAAGAATCACCAAATAATAAATTAATAAACAAAATTCATACCTGCGGAAGCCATTGTTGATATGAATAGTAGTTGTAATAGCAGTCAAGATTTTCCCCTCATTACTCCTCACAAAAGTATTAGCTATCAATGAGGCAAGCTAATGAAAACATATGGAGATGAGAGGGGGCCTAACCTTTATATATAGGAAATAATTTGAACTGTTCCATTACGACTAGAATTCTAATTAGAGTTTATTTCCGACCCACATACTTTAAACTACCACATAAAATTAATTACAACTCGTAAGGTGTAAAAAACTCAATTGATCACTTAATAAATTTGACACAAACACAAATATCATTATGAGCCATACATCTAACCCGTAAAATTTGCAATCCAATGTGAAGTCCACATATGAAATAATTAATTATTCCAACA